CGTTTTCCCAACTAAAGCCATATGCATTAGAACAATCAATTGTCTATTGTTATTGCACACATCCTATAGAATTTTTAATTTAATTTATTTTATTTTATTTGTTTATATTTAAAAAAAGAATCAATTGAGAGGAACACAACGAACAGTACGAAAGAAATTGTTGTGCGACGAACAGAACGAAAGAAATTATTCTGCGACGAAGTGTCGTGCGACGAAATGTACTAGCACCATTTGCATGAGATGCCCAAGATTTTGTTGAGATCAATATGTTTGAGACAAAGTTAGATAATGTTTTCAAAAAACATAAAGTAAAAGTTCTTCGATTAGATTTTCATTTCGATTATCTTCATTATAATAAGCAATCATGTTTATTTGTATGATTGCTAGTGTAGAGGAATATGTGTGATGTGATGACGCTGGTTTCTGAATAAATACTATGACGCTATTGATGACACATGACAAAAAATACTCAAAATACTAAAAGCAAATACATTTTTACTTTCTCTGTCAAATATTCTTATCTTATGATATCATTTAGTTGAAATAAAAGTTATCAAATATCCTATTTTATAATGATCATGGTTGTAGATAATCACCAAAAATACCACGACACTCAGTTTGAAACTTCAATTTCGGTTATTTGAACAAATGACTTTATACAACTTAAGCTTAGAAAAAACATTGGGACTAGTGGGCTACGGCTCCACTCTTTGGGGTATGGGTGTGATATTAATTCGCCATGGAGGACCATATATGTTTGGTGTCAATCTAAGTCGAAGTCTTATGATGGCTGCTACAGTGCCAGCTATGTACATTCTAGTTCGCATTAATGAAGCAATGTTTTCTCTTAATTCGCAAGAAAGACTAGCCGCACTGGCACTGGTTAACGGTAGTGCAGTTATTCTTGATGATGTCGCTCACACATGGTTCCCAAGTGCGCATGAAAATCCATCGTTGTAGAAAAAAAATCCGCGAGTAGCATGTTCTATTTCAAGATATGAATCTGGCTGGTTACTCTATTTTGTCGGCTTCTGTCTGACAATGCTTGTATTCCAATAATATTTTCATTTGTTAAAGAACATCTGTCTCTTTAATTTCTTACTGAATGTGACTTTTCTTGTATTACATATTAATCATAATCGTAGATGACAGAATCCTGAAATCTGGTTTTTTTTTCATTTAGAACATTGCATAGAGAATCGATTGATGTTATAAAACGCAAATAAAACTATACTTCTAATATCGTAAATGTGTTCAATAGTTAAAATTTTTTCATATTTTACTCTCGATCTATGCTTTTAGTGTTCGTTGTAATTTGCTGAATGACATAAAAATAAATAATAAATTAATCATATTTTGAATTTTTCACTTCATTCAAAGTTCCCAATTGAGATAAATAAGCATTTACACACTCCTTTCTTGACTGTTCTAAAAAGAAGATCACTATAGGTTTCTTATTTGTTTTTGAATAATATATTGGTTCAAGATTTTCGGTAGTCATTAGCTTATTTTTCCTGTTGGAAATATTTAATGAATGTTATCTACGCAACGAATAATATAATGAATAATTTATAGGAAAGCAACCGAGTCTTAATAATTGTTCAATGGATCATGTCTATCAAAACAATAATCAACTTCTTTTATTCCCATGATGAACACGATCTTTACATCTGCAAACAAGATAATGATTGAGGAAATGTATTCATAGTGATAGACAGAATTCTAACGACTTTATTTACCTTTGGTTTTCGTTTGACCAAGTTGAGATGGTGAATTCAACTTTCAACCATTCAATTTCACTCTCAACTCATTTCTTGTTAACTTTTCTGAAAGTAGAGAAATTCATGATCTACTCCTTAAAAACTTTCCGTTGACAATAGTTTGTTCATTGTCACATATATCTAAATCAAATTTTTTTCTTCTTCTCTTTAAATTCATTCCAATTACTTTGAAATCATCTGATATCCTATTGTGAAAAGTAACGGGTGTACTAGAATAAATGTACCTCTCAATTTTTTTGGAATATATCGCTGAAATTACGACACGGATATTTAAGTTTTTTTTTTCGAAATATAGCTCGTGCGATTCTCTTCAAAAGCTTATCAAAAGAACTGTTCCAACAAATAACTACTGAATTATATCTGATCAACTCGATTGTGCTCAAAAATGATACATTTTTAAGAAATGATGAATTCCATTTTTCTAGAAAATCATACGTAAGTAACTCAATTCTAATGCAGGTTTTCTGTGTTTTTGGATGCGCTCTTTGTAACTGTATGGAAAAGATGATGTTCATGCGCTATTTCGATGCTCCAACAGTCGATATTCTACGAAACATGAGTTGGAATCATTGATTGTTCTTGTTGTACATTTCAGAAGAACACTTTCCAACATTCTGCTTGTAGCGATATAATGGATACAACGTTTTCCTTCAACATAAAGGTTAACATGATCGTCAAATAATTTTTCATTTATGAGAAAAAAAAGACCGAAATTGCGATGAACTTATATCGAAGCTGCTCAGAAAGCGGATGAAAGGAAATAAAGATAAGGCTCTTTTGGAGTAGATGCATAACATGCCAGAACAGATATTCGTTAACACAGTAGAAGTTCTTATGGACTAAAAAATGGTCTATTCATTCTTTTTATATGGGACTGAAAAGAGCGGTGCAAAATCATTAATATGGAAATGATACTAAATTGAAAGTGTACCGCTTTGAAACAATGTTGTTAAATTGGTATTCACAGGTAAGCTGGTTAGTTCTAGTAAACATATTCAACTCTAACCAGTGTTTTTTTGTGATAAATCCGATATCTCAATCTTTTTCTTCAATTTAATATATACAGATACAGAAAAGCAAGTATTTTTAATTTTTCTATATTGTCTCGTGCACCCTCATTTAACATAATACGTTTTGTTTGTATTGCTGTGCTCTCTGAACCAACAGAGAATACTAAAAGACAACAGAATAATGTATAAAACTATTTTTTCTTCTGCCATCAAAAGTTCCATTCAATCTGATGGAGCTATTAAATGAAAAGTATTATAATGACTTTTGTTTATGGACATTATTCAAACATTTAACTTGACTCGTGTCGGATATTGTTAACTAGAATAAATTTCTTATGTTTTTCAATAAATGGTTCAAGTTTTGGTTTAATTAGATCATTACCATTTCGAACTGAGTTTCTTCTTCTAAACGAAAACAAATTTCTTTCGTAATCAGTTTCTCAAGTTATTCTATCGCTGTTATCCATAATTTATTGATTAATTCAAATGTTTTGCTCTTTTTCTGTTATCTAATTTGATCAAAAATATCGAACAATAAATGATAGAATTTTTCTAATTTTTGTATTTGATCGAGAAGTTTATTTTGTGATCGACAGATATTTCATCGATATTTGGGTGTGGATGAAGTAAAGGCATCCACACCCACACCCTATTAGAATGTTCATTGGTGGAGATACTCAATTGTCAACTAAACTCGATTTTTGTGTCATGTCTGTAGCAAACGACTATTTGTTGGAAATTCACAATGTTGACGAAGGAGTATTTTTTTTCGACTGAAACTTTCTTTTGAGCTCAATATAAGCTCAAATGGGAAGTTACAAGTCAAATAGTTCTTTTGTGAGCGAAATAGAATGCATATATTAAGAAAGCCTTCGAAAAATAGCAGTAACATTCGATCTAATGAGCACTCACTGTTGCTATTGAAATACGCTTTCATCATCTGGAAAAAAAACAGTTCTCGCTTCAAAATCATCATTTTGTGTGACCAATTGAGAATGAGCAAAACTTTATAATAACATTTGAATTAAAATCGTATTATTCTTCGATCTTGAGATTGATTTCACTGGCTAAAGTCGAAAGCAAAAGTGTCGAAAAGAGATGTTGTACTGTTCGAACTTATGAACGTTAAACATCGGAATAAAATTATTTTAACAATTTGACGAAAGATAATAGTAATAGTCTAAAGCTATATTTATGCTAAATGAACAAGTAATAACTGATTTCAATCAATCACCTGGTTATCCAATGCACTAGCTATTAAAATATTTTGAAAAACTTTGGATAAGTGATCTTGCTTTATAGAACGTGTCTAGATGCTATACACAAACAAAGTTTTAAACTTGTTGTCTTTCTTTTAAAAGATTTAGTTCGGGTACAATGTATTAGTACTCTGTATAATCAATATAATAATACTGTTATCAATGAATCGGTGTAATACTAATTGATTTATTCATTTATCTATGTTACTTCATTATTCTCTGTTTTTTTTCCTTTACTATACTCATACATCGTCTTTCGATCAAGTTCAGATACACCCTGAAGATTGTTATGACACAAAAATAAAAGAATTTTTTTTTTCATTTGTATGCTGATTATTTTTTCTAATCTCATCATTGTTTCATATGTTGTCCAACCACAAGAGTTTATTCAAACTATGAATTATTGTGTCATCACTAACGATAATATTAGTGTATTTAATCTAAACCATATTACATAATTGATCATAAATGATGATGAAATAGAGATACATCTATTGATCAAATATGAATTAAATTCTTCGAAAAAAAAAGACACACAATACTATTGATTCCACCTTTTGTATTGTCTTGTTTTTGTTTGATACTTATTCAGTCTTTTTGCTTTCTTTCTTTCACTCATTATCGAAGCAGACTGATAGAGGAGGGATCATCTGTTACTTTTATACCTCATTACACGATCTCTAAATAAACTAATCCGAGCTGGCTGTCGCATACATTTATTCGTTGCGTTCTTGTCCCGACGTTTGTAAGTTTGCATGTATTGTTCACACACATATAGTAAACAGGAATATTCATTCAGTAAAAACATCAATGAATCATATCAAAGTGTATGTTATTTGATCTGAACGTGTGTAATTTTGTTTTGTCTGTTGTCGAACAATACTCAATGACGGTAACATACGCCTGCCATCAATAATGATGACAGATCACATTGTTTTGAAAGTGCCATTATGAAAGCAGTATCAATCTGGTGGCTACTTATTGTAGTCAATAAAATTATCTATCTTGCCAATGCTTATTGGCTTACAGGTGAGAAAAAAAAAGAGTGTGAAAGTAATTGATGTTTTTGAAAATATGTATATATATATATTTATTTAAAAGGAAATCTTTGTTGGTCAATGCCATGTTTAAATGGGGGTTCATGTTTTGGATCAGCATATACTTATCTTTGTATATGTCCAATTAATTATACTGGAGCTTTATGTGAAAAACGACTCGGTAAAAATAATTAAAAATTTATTTATTTATGGTTTTGTGATTTGTAATTTTACATATATATATATATATGTATAATAGGTATTTGTCAAGAAAATCCATGTGGTAATCGAGGTTTATGTATTGAAAAAAATTTAACATCATTTGAATGTCGATGTTATTTTGATTATATGGGTCCAACATGTGAGGAACATGTCTCAAAAACTGTTCCAAATATATGGTCATGTAAGTATAGAAAAAAAAAATCATGTTTTTTTTTTAATTATTACTATTATTATAATATCATTGTAGCACTTTTACCTGCACATACAAGAATTTTATTTGATATGTTAAAAGAAGCATATCGTGCAAAACCAAAACAGAAATCATCCATCAATTCAGGAAATGATCACATCGATTTTATTGGTTTATTAAATGCAAATGAATCAATTCGTACTACTTCCATACCAATGACATCAACATCCATCGAGCCTAATTTAATAACTCATCAAAATGAACTAACGTCAACAGAACATGTTATACAAGCTAAAAATATTCGACTTGAAAGAATCTTTCCCAATATGAATATTGCATCAACAGTAGAAATGAATACATATGAATTTACTGAAGAATCATTTCCATACGATTATTCAACAACATTCTTAACAAATTCTGAAATAGATATAACATCTACTCCTATGATTATAGATAATATGACAACAACAGAAATTGAACAAATTCAACCAACATCTTTAAATCCTATTGAAGATCAAGACTCTATTAATGTTACAGAACAATTAGACACAATCATAACTTCAACATCAATGGATTGGTTGAATAATAATTATAATATCATCGATGATATAACAACAGAAAATTCATTTGAACAAACAAAAAGTTTTACAGAATTCATTGATATAACTACAATTGAACCAATGGATTATACTTCTTCGAATGCCGATGTAACAATTGATGATTATGATGCATCCTATACATCAGATCAAATGATTACTTCATCTATCAATACATCTGAACTACCATCATCTACACAAACAACTACGATTATTCCAACTACACATAGTCAATTTCTTTATAAATTATGTCGACAAATTTTATCACATCTTTTACCTAACACATCATCATCAACTGTTACTGCATCTACTTTACCATTAACATCACATTCATCATCTAAAAGTGATCATACAACTGATAAATTTCTGTCTTGGATAAGTAAATATCTCAGTTCATCTAAAAGTACAAGTACATCATCAACTGTACCATCATTATTTATCAATGATATTCGAACATCATCAATTCCATTACAACGGATAGATATGGATGATGTACTTCATCATATGAATAATAATAAGAACATTAATAATGAACAATGATTATAATCATACATATATATTATTAAAATTACCATTTGTAGAGAACAGTTTGTTCAATTAAATCATTTTTCTTTTTTTTGTTATTGTGAGAGATATTGTTTAGCCAAATAAATTTTATTCGCTTGTCTTTTAAACACATATTTGTTAAAAATGTATGAATCACTTTTCTTTTCATTTTACAAAATGACTAAGAACTCCGAGAAAGTAAGTACATTATCGTTCCCATTTCATGCGTTCGATAAAATGTTAATACAAATGAATAATCATTGATCATGAACGATTTAGTACTTACGTCAATAATGCAAAAGAAAAAGAGATCAATGAAATATAATTAATTTTAAAATATTAATCAATAGAAATTAAATCAAATTTTTTATATAAAATATAAAGCGTTGGAGAAAAGCTTTAACCATGCCTTGGCTTCGAAAAAATAATCTTTTTATTTCGTGACGACTTATCAATATTGTTGTGAGTAGGTGTGAGTGTGACAATATTTGTATTAAGTAGGTGGTACTCGCCCTCAAATCAGCATATTGAAGTAGAGACGGATAATAGCCCGACACCCATTAATCGAAATCGTTTTTGTGACCTTTTTACTGATGGGACACTCGTTCTAAAGATGCCCGATACTGTTATTACTGTTTAATGTATATCTTTCTCTCTAAGACAATATAATGGAGAGATAAAGTTTTTTTTTTTTTACTTTCTTATAAGTACTTAAACAATCTACATTTTGTTAATCAAGTTGTTTTTAGAAAGATCTTTAGTAATCTTTAATAGTAATTTAATTATTCCTAATCCTAAAAAGTTAAATCTTCCTTTCAAGAGACCTTATGATAATTGATATAAAAAAATGTAAAAAAATCGCCATATTCAACAAAAAACTTGTCAGGTTATGATAGTATGATAGACTATAGATTAGAAAAAAAAAAGTCATCCTTGAATAGAATATAGAAGAATCAAAAGAAAGAAATTTTTCGCCCATAAGTAGGCTTCATGATCTTTAGAATGTTCTAAAATTTTTAGTCAAAACGAATATTTCCATCTCTCGAGATATAGCACATTGAAAAAAAAGTTGATTTTATAAAATGCCATCGTTTTGTTTTTTTTTTTATCTTGGCAAAAAAGCATCCATTTTGGTTGAAAAATTCAGAGCATTCTAAGGATCATGAAATCTACTTATGGAAAAAATCTCAGATCAAATATCTTTTCTTTTGATTTTTTTATGGAGTCAAATATGCCCTTTCCGGGAATATTTAATAACTCGACAAGAAGAACAAGATACTATTTTTGTGATAGTATGAACATAGTGAAGGTTCATAATCGTTATTTTTATGATCAGCTGCCACCTATTGTCAAAAATGATCCCCCCCCCCCCTCCGGTTTTCAGGTTTAATAATAGCATGAAAAAAAAATTTCTGATAGGTTGTAAGTCTTATTAAATAGTTTTGTGGTGACGTAAGCGTGTGTAGGTGTAAGATAAAAAAATAATAATAATCATAGCCTGATGTTAAATCCACTTTACTTTGTAATATACATATATAAATGAAACAAAAATAGAATTCTGTATTTAAAAAAGATTTATTTAAGCGTCAATCACTGCCATATATAAGAGTACCTGGAAAACAGTACAAAAAAAAATGAACTTCTACTATACATTTATTTTCTTTGGTTTACTTTTATTATTTTCAACTACAACTATAGCCTATCCAAATTATCAACATAATGATCCATATGAAGAAGAATATTCAATGTCAAGAATGATTGAACCTGAAATATCAAATATAAATGATGATACTTGGGAAAACTTTTTATTTCTCAACGGTAAGAAATTTAACTAAGCGCGTAGTTTATTTTTGAATTTTTTTAAATAATACAAAATAAAAAAGCTAACAAATGATAAATGAATATTTTCTTTCGGATGAATTACGTTATTTTATTAAAACACTTCTTATTAAAACAATCATGTATGAACTTGATTGGCATATAGTTATTCAATATCTTATTTATTTAATAAATAATGAAGATAAACATCGTGATATAAAATTAATATCAGATCTTTTTCAATTATTATTATCAGTTATTGATATAAATTCAAATGAACAATCAATGGAATATTTTTCAAATGAAAAAAATCAATTAATTCAAGTTTTTCAACTTATTCTTTCATTTCTTAATCAAATATCTACAATAAATTTAGATAAATCAAAAACAAAATTTTATATACCATCATTATCATTTGAAAATGAAATAGATAATATAAATTTTTTAATTTATAGAACTATTCGATATATGATAATAAATCTTTTAAATAAATAATTAAATTAATATTTTTAAAATTTTTTTTTGAATAAAACTAAATTATTATATTATTATTTTAGAACGAATACGACGTGGTTGGGGTAGTGGTCGACGATAATCAGTATTGTGGATAGTAATTCTTGAATTTCTGTAAAAACATTCTTAATTAATAAAATAAAATAATATTATCCACGATAAAAAAAATAATCATAATAAATCATGTAATTGTATATTCGTATCATTTATGTTAAACCTTCTTTCTCTCTCTCTCTCTATATATATATACATATATGTGTTGTTTTATTAATTAAGTTATAAATGAAATTAACATATAAAATATAATAATATATCTTGTTTTTGAATTCGTAAACAAGAATATTTTTATCAATTAATTTGTGACTAAGGTTACATGATGATAGAATATATTAATTATAATTCATCATCATACACGCTATGTTTGAAATGACAGCTATATTAAATAAATATTTCTAATGAAATAGAACTAAAGAAAAAGTATGCGTTTTGTCATGTAACACAAATAAAAGAGATTCAATATTATTATTTGTTTATTGCGTAGATCATTTTGTATGTAAAATGACATATTTCTTGTTCAAAAATGCTTCCTATATATCATGAAAGAATTAAGTAATTATGATATTGTGACATAAAAATAATAAGATAGCTTATAGACATTCTCTTCTCTTTCCGAATATTAAAATCAAAACTTTTTAGACTTTCCTTGACAACATAGCTTCGAGGCGTTCTCTATGAAATGCAACGCTCTTTGTCGTTTGTTAGTACTCTTATTAAATCGATCACTTTAATTGAAGAAAAACAACAGTTCTGATGTATGCAGGAAAGTTTCTTTTGCGTTTTTCTTAAAATCAATTTTTTTAACAAGAAAAATATGCTTGTTTTTTTTTGCTCAAATTTACGAAATTCGGCACCCTTTGAAAAGTTAAGATCATTGGAAAAACACGCTTTGAAATAATGCTTCTCCTAAGTGATAGAAATGATGTTTTGTGAAAGCGAAAAAAAAAATACTTGTACTACAAATTGATTCTAGTTGTGATAAAAGAACTGTAGCTCAAAAAACAGATGAAGGACAAAGTTTTACAGAAGAGAATAGTTCTGGTCATTTTGGGACTTGATAGCTTTATACCTTCCTCAAGGAAGCGTCTGAGAATTCGAAGTCTATGATAACTTTTGCTCTATCTATCGAAGTCTAGCTGTCTTGAATATAAGAAAACTTTCTATATTGCACACTTTTCAGTTTGACGAAGCGGTTTTTGCTGGACTGGAACCTATGTATGATGGACACCATTTTTTTAATGTTCGGACAGAATGGTCTGAATCATTTAATCTGTGGTTTAAAACTATCGAGTTTGTTGAAATGAATTCTTTCATTCTTTTTTTCTTTCAACTATTGAGATGCTAATCAACGATTTATGGAGTCTGATTCAAGTTGATGAAAACAATCACAATATCTCTTTGGAAGAAAACCTACTAATATTGCCTGAATCATTGGAAATTATGAGAAGTTTTTATCTTTTTGTAGATCGCTTCCTATGTAAAAACCAAAGATTTTGTCAATTTTTGTGCCTTTTGACATACATTCAATAAATTAGATTTTACATACTTGTATCCGATCCTCAATAAAAATTAGCTAACTGTATCAAAGATGATTTCAAAACCTGTCGATTCCTAGAGATATATTGTACTAATAAACTAAAATATGTTTATAATTTTAAGTTCCAGAAAGATTGGTTATTTTCGTTGATTTTAAGATACTGAAAAAAAAATTAGTTTTCATATGTTCTGTAATATTTAAAAGAGAAACGAAGAGTATAGATCGAAAGAAAACAATGTAAAAGACGATAGTCTTACATGTTATGATTCTTTTTTTTTTTGCTTTGTACAAAAGAACCAATTAGAAAAAAAAGAAGCATAGAAAAATGTATCCTAAGAAGGTTATATTGGCATTTTAAGTTGCTATATAATGACTATAAATATGTATAGAGTCGAATTATTGTTTAATAGTACTTTCAAATGTATTTTAAATGAGTGTAGATGAAACTATCCAAGTTGTTATGTTATTCTTTTCGATACTTTAAAAGAATAAGTGTTTCTTTTTTGCTTATGAATCGATACTATTCAGATTCGGATGATGCATATTATGTTACTCGTCCACAATCGGATAATATACATGCATCTGGTTGGCAATCACCATTACCAACAACTGATGGAATATCATCACCATCATCATCAATAACACGTATTGTTGTTGAATGTCCATTTGGATCAAAAAAATGTAATTATTCAATTGATAAATCACAACGTGGTCGTTTAATTGTTACTGTACGTCGTCGACATACATTTAAATCTGATTATTTTTCATTAAATAATAAAAATAATATAGCTATTCAAACATTTACTATTCCATATGATGCTGATATTGATCATTTAAAATCTTATGTTGAACGATATACAAATCGTTTAATTATTGAAATTCCTCGTTTATCTTCATCATATATAAATAATAATCATACATATAGACATTTAATTCATTCACCTAATATATTAACATCATCAATAGGTGCTTCTCAATTAATATATGATGATATTAAACCTAATAGAAAATTTTTTCATAATAATGAAAAATTAGAATATCTTATTGATTGTCATGGTTATACAGCTGATGAACTTGATGTATTTATTCAAGATCAAAATTTAATTGTTCATGGTCAAACTAAACAAATAAGATCAGATGATCCAACACAAGAAAATATATTAAAAAAATTTTCACGTAAAATTTCATTACCATATACAGTTGATTTATCAAAAGTTATATCATATTTAAAAAATGGTCAATTACGAATTGAAGCACCACTTAAACGTGAATTTTATTCTAATAATACTGAAATTCTTTTACCTGAATCTCAATTAACAACAATACCAAATAGAACATTTGTTGAATATAATCGAATTCAATCACCTATTTCAAGTAATCGACAACATGAATATGTAAATCATCGTCGAAAATATGATCGTAATAATATTCATCGACCATCAAGTCCAATGCGACGAGTATATTCAACTGAATATCTTAATTATCCACTTTATAGATCATCGGAAGATATGAATAATGATGGTGATGATGAAGATGATTCAAGACAAGGTCAACATCGACAAACAGTTAATTATGAACGTTATATTACACGTCGACATGGTACAAGACAACCACCAATATATAGATCTACATATTCACCAACAAATCATATTGTTAGAACTACAACACATCGTAATTATCCAATGGATGAAAATATGTATTATAGGTATTAATTATTATTTAAACTGCTTATTATCATATAAAATTGTCTAATATTTATAATAATAATACAAATATTATTAATTAATATATTTTATACAAAGAATTCTAATTGAATATATTTGCATAGTATAGTCTTTTGAATTCAATATCTTTTTTTTTCTCCTCTGATATTCTTATTTATATAATATAATCATTAAAATGGATATCTTGTTTTTATTATAGTATAGAACAATACATTTGTAACTTTTTTTTAAATTTTTTTTAGTGTCTTGATAGAATTTTTTCTTTCATTTTATTCATTAATTCTTTATTTTTTTTTCTATCTTATTGTGTATGAAATACGAACGAGAAAGAAAATATCATCAACGAAAGGACCGTATTTTCTTGATCTTAATTCTATTCAAGAAACAAAGAATAATACATAAATGATATCAAGATATTTTTTGTATTTGCTTGTACACACAATAGTTTCATAAAGAAATATTTATGAATCTTTTTTGAACAATATCCACAACGATTTACATGCAATGATAACAGATTCCTTTATTTTTCTTTCGTTGAGGTCGTTCAATATGTACATGTAAATATTTACATCTGTAGAACATGTTAATTCGCATGAAACCATAGCAAAAACAATTGAAGTAACGAAATTCAAACATAAATTCCATCAACTTAGTAACATACAGATTAACAAAAAAATATTTAATGATCTTCTATTAATTGACATGTTGTTTGAAAATAGATGAAAACTCAAATTTACACTAACATGTTATGTTGGTATTATATGTTAAATCCTTGTCAAGTGTTACTATTTAAAGAGATTTTACTTAAGCCATCTTTACTTAGTTTAAAAGCCAAAGATAAATATAATTTTCTTCTATAATGTCTCGATAGTATGTACCTATCTATATATATAATATACATTTTTTTGTATCCTATCAACATTGTACTATAAAATGGTCATAATTCATTTTGCTGAATTTCAACATAGTATTAACAAAATCAACAGATGGATGATCTCATTAACAGTGAATTTTCATTGTAAAAAAGCGAAGAACGAAAAATATAATTTAATATTACTATTTCAATTTTAATTTAATCAAGACTTTTTCCAACATGAGATTAAGTCATACCTTCGAAACCAGACAAATAGACTTGTTTTATCTCAAACATTTTGTGTTATAAAATTCTATTGACATACTTTTATAAAAGTAAATCAATCGTACATTAAAGTATTAATATTGAAATAATGACTCTTATGTATATTGTTAGCTACTGCCATAATTGTAATAGTTACATACCATTTTCAATGTCAAGAACTTCAAAGAAGTTCTTTTCAAATAAAACTAATCTACTCAAACAAGTGTGTGTATCGAAAAAAACTACTTTCGTAATGGATTAATTCTTGCCGAGTAAAGAATGAAAATCTACAATTTCCTAGGAAGTAATCGTTTATTGCAGGTCTTTTATACACTTCACAAAAATACTAGACGAATATCATTTCTAATATTGTACTCAGGTTTTATATAATGAAAAGTTTCATCTTGAATATATTCTAACAATAATTCGAATTCCTCTGATTCATGATATAAGTTTCTCACTTATATGACTTCACAATAAAATAAATTTTCAGTATATATAAACCAGCCGATCTGATTCATTTCTAATACATCGATCATATGCATCAAAGAGATTTTCCAATTAAAAAAAAAAAACTTGTACGATAAAAGTATATTTCTTGATGCATAATGAAAATTTACAGATAATTTCGAACAGATCAAATTAGTTCTTGGTATAAAAATTATTTTAATCGACTAAATGTAACTAATTTGATATATTTCTTTAATGATTCAAAACTGATTAAAAAAAAATAATTATGATGAAAAATTTTTTGTTTTTATTTTTGATATTATTAATTAGATTCAGAAATTTGAATACAAATGCTAATCAAAATTTTCATTGAATATAAATTGACGAAATATTTTTACTTTTTTCTATAGATTACTTTTATTCACAATTCAATTATAGCATTAATTTTATTTAATTTAATATTAGAATAGAATATGCATAGAAAAAAAAAACAAAAGAAATATATTCAAAATTAAACTGTTGTCTGACATTTATTTAAGAATTTGATAGAATACAAAAGAAAAAAACAACAACAAAGAACAACAGAAATAAAAGTATAAGAATATATTCTTCATTTTCTTTTAAGAATTATACTAAACATTTAATGATATTCTCTTATTTCATCGTTAATAAAAATAAAACTTGAACTAAAAGATAAAATCTTTTATATCAATTGATAGCACAATTGGTTAAACTCTTTATTTTTTCAAGAATTCTGAAAACAAAAACAAAAAATATCAATCGTCCATTTTCTATTTTTATACCTTATCATTGTTTATCTTTGGTCTTGAATTAAGTTTCATTTTAGGTTCAAGTGGTGATCGTTGATTTAATAAATTACCCCATTTAGTATCATAAGAATCTACACTAAAAAATGGATGTGCTTTCAATTGAGTCATTCCACCTGTTTCTTCACTACCAAGTCGTTCTGCTGGTTCCGAACGCTAGTATGAAATAACAAAACATCTTCTTACTCATATGAAGAATTTGTATAAAAATACTTACCACAAGTTTTTGTATAAGATCACCAATAATATTTGAAAAATCATCAGGTAATTTATAAGCAACACGAACAACAGCATTGAAAATATCATATTCATGACTAAACTAATTCAAAAGGAATTTTTTTTTATCTATTAAATGAAAAATTTCTTACTAGCCATGAAATAAATGTTTACCAGTAGCCATTTGATAAATAACACAACCAAGTGACCAAAAATCTGATCTAAAATCAATAGTAAAAATATTTTCATAATCAAATGATTATTTGTTAACAAACCCAATATGAATTGGACCATGTTGAAGAATTTCTGGTGCTACAAATTGAGCTGTACCAACGAATGAATTCTTTCGTTGTATTAATATGTTTTCACTATTTTGACTTTCATTATTATTTATTTGAGATATTTCATTTTGATCCATAATAACACCAGAACCAAAATCAGTTAATTGAATATGCATATCATCAGTTAAAAGAATATTTTCAGGCTTTAACAAAAACACAAAAAAATTTATTATTATTATTATTTTTTTTTTGCTTTACTTTCAAATCACGATGAATTATATGTCGAATATGTAATTGTTCAAGTGCTTCAATAAGTTCAGCAGCATAGAATCGTACAATATTTTCTTCAAAATGACCGGCATCAGTTATATATTGTAAAAGATCACCATTTGAACAATAAGTGAGACCAAAATCTAAATATAAAATATAATAAGATAAAAATAAATTATTTAATACTTACAAAGTGTACTTTCATTTTGAAATGTACAATATAATTTAACTGCATAATCACAATCATTTAATCGTGCTAGAATTTCTTTTTCTCGAAAAACTTGTGGAATTTTTTTTAATCGTTTTATTAAATCTTTATTAACTGCTTTAACTAAATCAAATATGAAATTTAATATAAAAAGATGAAAACAAATTCATACTTGCTAATTCACGATTTGTTGCTGTTTCAATAGCAAAAAATACCTAAATGATAATAAATAAATAAATAAAATGTAATATCGTTTTTCTTCTTCTTCTTACTGTTGAATATGAACCAGTACCAATTTCTTTAATAAATTTAAAATCTTTTATTGATTTTTTTGGAATATTTGATGAAGAAGAATTTGTTGCCATTGAAAAATTTTCCTGTGTATTTGAAATATTATTTCAAAATTACATATATGTCGGAGTAGAAATCGAAATAACAGGCGATTTTAAGTTGCACTAGTAGAAGTTAAAATTTTAATTTCTACTATAGGAGAATTTTAAATTCTACTAAACTTATACTATGGAAGTATGCGAATTTATCCTAGAATAGAAAATAAAATTAACATTTATTTTAATTATACAATATGTCAAACGAAAAGAATAAAAACAGATTTTGGATATTTAATTTCAATTCTTCGCGTCAGTATCAAAAGAAAAAACACTTCAATATAGAACTATTTTATTCGAAATTTGATAAACATAGAGAATCTTTAGGGAAAAATTTTCTTTCAAAATGTTTATCACACAAGTTGGTTACAATGACATCATATTGGTATAAAAGATGGTTAGAGTGAAACTCAGTTTAAATTCTAAATCAATAAACACGTTAAATTAGTTACTATTGGCGAATTACAAGTTGATTTTTGCATTAAATCAAATAATCTAGTGATCACATACAGGTTAATTTCATTTTCTATTCTAGAAGAAATTCGCATACTTCTATAGTATAAGTTTCTAGTAGAATTTTAAATTCTACTGTAGTAGAAATTAAAATTGTAACTTCTACTAGTAGAATTTTAATTTCTACTCCGACATATATAGAAAAAAAAACAAACAATAGTTTTTATTGGTTTTTATTTAGAACCAATGAAAATATTCAATATAAAAGATAGCATCATCATCGTAAAAATAGAGAGGGGAGTGCTTTTAGTCCTTGATCAAATTATTTGTTTCTAAAATTTCGATACATCATGACATCGGAAACGACAACAACATTAAAAGAACTTAAAACTAATCTTCTTAATTCTTATCGAAAAGAATTTTTAAATGATGAACCAACTATATGTGCATTTGCACCTGGTCGTGTTAATTTAATTGGTGAACATGTTGATTATAATGATGGATTTGTTTTTCCTATGGCTATACCACTTGGTACAATGATTATTGGTAAAGCATTAGATGATTCAACTAATAATAAATGTTATATTCGAACATTATCAAGTAAATATTAATTATTTATTCAATGGACAAATTTAGAAATGGAATGATAATGATGATGATGATCGCTTCCTTTATCTTACGAAATTGGTTTTGATTTTCTCAATAGAAAAGATTCAAAAAAAAAAATTAACTGGTATCATCGTTAATGAACTTGAAAATATACATGTTTTTTTGATCCTA